ACCATTCTAACAACAAATGACTGAGAACAATATGAAATTACGCAACAAGCAATAAAACCACGAAAACGATAATATCAAAAATAGGCAAATAGTCCTAAAATCCTAGTATCAGGCAAGGTCGCTGTCTTACGGTCACCCCACACTTGTAGAAACCGAAAGAGTTTCAGCTAATTTATCAGAGTGGACCTGCCTATGGTCCATACAATTGAGAGATGCGAATCTTTAACTAAGGATTCAAGTCCTTATTGGAAATTCAGTAGCAAAAGATTACAAAATAGCACACGTTCCAAATCACAGCAATTTTCAAATTTCGATTTCAATTTCATGCAGAGGAAGCTGAGCAACCTTTGTTACAACCAAGCGATCTAACCACTCTAAGACCAATTTGTTGTAATGTGATTCCCAGTCAATAGGGATAATCAAAACCCAAAGTCAATTAAATGTAATTAAACAAAATAAATTGAATTAAATCAATGAAATTGCAAGAATAACATTTCCCTATCGAGATCCCGTTCAGAATCACCAATTGAAAAACAAGGCTCAGATTAACCAAGGCTACAAGGTAACACCACAACACGATTGAACCCGAGAATATCACTCAAACCACTAAGAAATCGGCCATAAAAAGCTCTAAAAAATCGGACAGAAAGCTATTGTGCAGAGGCCAAAAGTATAGTAGAAAATCGAGCACAAACAAGAGCTTGTCGAGGTCGCTTAGCCAACAACTAATACCAACAACAAAGAGTAGAGGAAGCATGAACAGAAGGTACGAATAACTATAGAGGAAAGTCACCCGACCCAGGCAAAATAGCATAACAGCAGCCAAGATTGTGTGTGTGTATGTAATATATCTCTAGAGATGGCAATTTTTCCCGCCCCGCCCCTTCCTGTCCCCGTCCCCCTGGGGTCCCATCCCGAATGGGTTGGCGGGGTGGGACAGGGTGGAGATGCCCCGTCCCGAACTCGCCCCTTAAAGAATTTTAAAAAAAAATATTGTTTTGGACATTGTTTGTTTTTGAAATTTCTTGTTTTGAGTGCTTACTTTAAATATTGATGTAGTTAGTTTGAAAATTATTTACACCCTGTTTGTTTGGCATTATTTCCCATTTTGTAGAAGATTTATGACCTTTGGTAGCCGTGATTTTTGACCATTGTCTCTCATGATGGGACCTAGTTTTTGAAAAAAAAAGGTCAATTTTTTTATTTTCTCCCCTACAATAATGCCAAACAAATAGGTGCTTACTTTGGATTTTAAAATTTTGAATTTGTATTTTAACTAAAAATTAAAAAAACAAACAAACAAACGAGGCAGGAAATGGGGCAAGTCCGCTCCCCGCCCCGCCCCGCCCCGCCTCGAATGTGCCCCGATGTCATCACTATATATCTCAATAAGTTAACAAAGTTCACATATATAGGTGACAATTGGGGTGGACCAAATATGGGCCAACGGTTAATAAATGGAACAAGCCCTACTCGTCCCTAATTTCCACGTGTGAGATTCTCAATATGTCTCGATTTCGTGGGCCAACCTTGAGTCTATCGTTAATATAAGTGGAAATGACATCCACCCATAGTTTTCCCCTTCACAATTCAAAAATAAGATTTATAAGTTTTTTATTCAAAAATTAGATAATAATTTAAATTATTAATATTAATATTATAAAATGAAATTACTTCACATACCCACCCATACCCTTCTACCCCAAATTTCATCCCCAAACCCTAAATTATTTTTCAATCTCTACTCTATCTCTTCCTTCTATACTCCACTCCACCCGTCTCCATTCTCTCTAACTTTTACTGGCACCAACCACCGTTGTACGTGCTCAGCAACGGTTAGCGATGTGGTTGATGTCGTTGTTGCGATGACGTTGGACATTTGAGCCACATAGCGACGACATCAGGACACCGATGTAGAGTTGTGTACTACAATGGAGAACATAGCTAAAAAACTGCAGTGGCAATGATGATGTCATGGAGACCGATAAATAAATTGTGTGAGTTCTGTGCGTATAGAAGCTAATTATGTGTGGTGGTGGTTCGTTGGAGTAGCGGTGGTACTGGCGAAGATGGTAAGGTAGGGGTGGTGCAAGTTGTGGTTCGTTGGAGTGGTTGTGGTGCTCGTCGCTTTTAGTGAGCGATCAAATTTTGGATCTAGATCTGATATTTTTGTGGTGTTTTGATGGTGGTGGTTGTAATGTTGGTTGGAGTGGTGAGGTGGTGGTGATGTTGGCGGTGCTGGTGAGGTGGTGGTAATATTGGTGATGGTGGAGTGGTTGGCAGTGGTCATAGCCGTGGTGTGGTGGTTTGTGGGTGGGATGGCGTGCGATGGGTATGTTTGTGACTAATCATTTGGTTGATTGTGACCAATAAATTGATTAATATGTGACTAATAAATAATATATGACCAATTATTTGAAATTATGACTAATAAATTGAATATTTTTTTACCAATAAATAATACGCGACCAAAAAATTTGAATCGTAACTTATAAAATTTGTGATTTTTGACCGATAAATAAATTGTGACCGATAAAGTTTTGATTTGTGATCGAGAAATGATTTGTAACCTATAAAATTTTTGATTTGTGACCGAAAAATTATTTGTAACCAATTAATTCGATAATTTGTGATCAAATTGTATAGATTTGTGACTTTAATATGTTTAATTAAACAATATTTTTTAATTAATTATTTCATAACTAAAATTTAATAGTATCTGATTTTTGAAGTTTTAAACATTATTTTTTAATTTTGAAATAGGTCATAGTTAATTTTTTAGATATGAAATTTTCCCTTAATACAATATTCAATAATGGGCAAGCCCTATGAATTAATTCAACTCAATTTATCATCACCATCCTGGGTTTATTTGGTATCAAATACCTAACACAAACAAAATAGATAATAAAAAAAATTCATCCACATCTAACAAATATTAAAATTGCTAAATTAAACTAAGACGGTATTCAGAGTGTTGTTTAATACTGTGTACCTAACATGTCCTAAAATGCTCTAAACATTTTCACATAAATATATCACATCATGAGTGCAGAAGAGGTAACAACACATAGTCCCCCTACAAAAAGAGTAGAAATGATGGTAGTCCTTGTAGGCATCCTTCCTTTATCACTTCTCAAAACCATGGCTCCATAAATTGGCAAGCAATTCAAAACCCCAAATCCTGCAATAAACATTTGTACAAAAAATCCATCCGAATTTCTCTCCTTGAAAATCTGCACTATCCCACCATAGAAAAATGCCATTAAATTCAAAATTGCAGCCATTCCTAATGGCACAAACAAAGGGGACTCTACTCCAAATTCAAATATTCCTTCATCATATCTTTTACTTTGTTCATCATCCATTACTTTGCTTGTCACATTGAATCCATGTGTGGCTATTCCTAATTGTTTGGTTATGAACTCTACGAAACCAAATAAATACGATGATAGTCCCCTTATGAGCCAAGTTCTTTGATCACTCCACCACCTTTGGAATTTCCCTTTGGTTAATATGAAATCTAAGCAATCTTGTACATAGGCCCCAAGAAATAGAAATACGTATGCAAGAAACCAAGGATCGGATACCTGAAAAAATGCAAATTTTGAGAGAGGAAAAAATAAGTAACTAAGAAATCTTTGACGTCCCACATTTAAATAATCAATAGTACGAAAATTGTTAGACTAGACAAGAGTAAGGAACAAATACGTAATATGTTTTTATGAAAATAATAAAGGGGTTTCAATGTTACTTTGATTTTGTGTGAAAGAAACTAATAACATGTTTGTTAAGTTTCATTGGGATGGACCATATAAGATTAAAGAAGAGATGCATGGGATATTATGTTAAATCATAAACGATTTTTGAACTTGTCATTCCTAGTCTGTGAAAGTAATTTGTATCCATTATATGTTTCTTATGTATGATTGTATCGCACTAGATAAGATTAAAAAAGAGAGACGTGTGATATGTTTATCATTTTAATTTATCCGATATGCACCTTTCAAGTTTTACGAATCAACTTTATAATATTTATTCAACATGGGTATTAACTAATGTGTTATGTGAGATATTTGGAATACAGGTAAAGGTACCTTGGGAAAGATGGGGACTCCATTGAGAAGAGTTAGTGAAGGGAGGAAAGCGTAGACTGTAATGGGAACACTCCAAATGGGCCAAAATGCATAGTGTGCATAAGCCTGGCCCATTAAAATCCCCATGGACTTGATCCCAAAAGTTAATGGGCTGTACTTTGAGAAGCCAACCTCTAGCAGCCCAACGGCCCATCTCTTGTTCTGGTTCAAAACATCAATTAGAGAAATTGGAACATCACCCAAAAATGCAGGCCTGTTTGGGTCACAGAATATCGATTTCCATCCTTCACATTGAAGCCGATAACCTGTGTAATAATCCTCGACCAAGGAGCCATACCGGAACCCTATCTAGATGTTAGGGAAAAAAAAGCTCGATCAGTCAAAATGTAAAAAAATACTGTTCAAAATATAATTTAAATAAATGCCTTGTCTTAAAATCTAAGATGAGATTGTTGAACGTAATAAATTTTGTTTACCTTAGATCCCCAAATGGTTAGATACTCATAATTGCATCCAGCAACATGGTGGGCTTGATTTAAAATTTCTTGATTCGCAATGGGCTTTTTCACAATGTAATATGGCCCAAGCTCTGGAATTTCTGGCTGAACAAGTGATGATGGGCCACCAAAAAATGTGCATCGATGGAAAAAGCATCCTGTCCCAACATAACTCGGGCCGTCAAGCCCATCCATGCCGGGTGGATTTATTTGAAACAAATGTTTATGCTCAGACGCGTAGATATCGGCCTTGTTGAGTCCATGATATCGCTGTGGGATTTGAATGTACCCTAAATTGGGCCGACTCGACTTATCCGAAAGGTAGCAAAGAACTCTTTGAAGCGTCGAAGGGTCGTTGGAATACATATCGCAATCTAGAGTTAAGACAATTGGTGCATTGGTCATGATGCTTGAAACACGAAGCTTCACGACACAACACAAAATATGTCCAACATTAGCATAAAAGGCACCATTGTGCTATTTGTGCAATAATAATAAAAATAATCTTTTCAATCTGAGATATAGAAGGTATATTACTTACCAAGGCATTGAGGGCACCGGCCTTGAAATGATGTGGGGTAGCCTTGCTTTTCTCTCTAGAGACATATACAAGGTTTGGCATTGAATTTTCCATAAGATCCTTGTCATTCTTGGTATCTAACATAACCTGTTTAAAGTAATATAAAATATATAAGAAAAATATAGTTATCCCCCGATTTTGATAAAATATGAATTGATGCTAAATATCTATATATTTATTATGTATAAATTTTTAAACGAGGCGATGAGAAAATTATATATTACACTATTTTTGTTAATAAATAACATAAATGAAAATTAAAAAAAAACCTGAATGATAGAGGGATGATTTTGGCGAGTGAAATCTTTAGTCCGATATTGATTCAGAACTTGATGTTGCTTTTCATTGGAAATGTATTCATCACTAACCTTCCCTTCCTCGACCACGCTTTCTACCCTTGTCTTCATGCTATCGTACTTCATCTGCAGAAAACAATTATTCATTTAAGTTTCATTATCAACTTAATTAGGTAAATTTGGTGGGGAGGGGGGGGGGGGGGGGGGGGTTTAATATTCGATGTGTTGTATTTGTCCACTTATAAATTAATGAAAAGAATAACATAATTTATTTTTAGGTCATTATACTCCCACAAATATTTGTACCTAACCTAGATTTAGGTAAAAATAATATATCAATTTGAATAAAATTTTCATGGGTCAAGTGAAATCCAATCATCTACAATTTTATAATGGACCATGTGCTATTCATAGAAAAATGTCTTTTTGTGCGTCAGATGTATAAAATATTACAAATTGTAATTTCCAACACGATAAGGTGTGACATAGGAATTGGTTGGAAATCATTGTAGCTCAAATTTGTGGGACTTGTCTAAGTAGTTTGTTCAAACACTTCTATCAATTAAAAGGATAATATTCTCCCAATTATGTATATTCAATCATTTGCCCATGTTTGGGCTCCATTTTATCAAGATAACGCAATTTTATAGTAAAAAGTTGGAGACTGTGTGATTAAAAAATAAGGAAAAGTTTTGAGTTTATGTATAAAATTATTGAATCGTGTACAATCTAGGATGTCAATATTGGTAACAACTCACACTGAACAACACCATATTCATCTATTTCATAAACTGTTTTTTAAATTAATGATCCGAATTTTGACAACACCAACATTGTCAATCATTATTGTCTAAGTATAATTGTACAAATAGCATAATTGAAAATTGTTTTATGAGAGGATGTATGGTTGAAAATGAGTGTTGAAAAAAATGAATTTTGAGAATAATGAGACTCAAGCAATGTTTAATATCAGCAGCAAGACATTCTAGAAATGTAATACTAGATAGAAATAGCTTGTGTACTAAATGAAATTTAAATTTATTTTTCTTCTTTTAAACAATCTAATGTTGTTGAATCTTCTTTACTACATATAATATAAGAGTACTTGGATTTTATTATCCTCGTATACTATATTCTCATGACAACTTCAATACCAAGAGTCATAGTCTGGCAATTTTTTAAATTTTTGAACATTTCTAATTCAAACGATTACGTAACTTTTGATTGCTAAGAGTTAATTAACATAACATTCCTAGTGTCTTATCATATAATTCCTTCAACTATTTTAACATGAACATTTACAGTCGTGGTTCTTGTTTCAGGGCGATTTGGCATGACTTTTGCTTTCTTTTCTTGTAAAAAGGATATCTGAGGAAATTATCTTAATTTTTGTTTGAATACTAATTTTCAAAAATGTTTTCTATTTTGAAGATTCTTTTAAAGGAAGTCACGTTGGACAAGTTTTATCTAAAAGCATTTCTTACTGACACGCTCATAAAATTAGTTAAATGAATTTAAATGCTACTTTTAGATTCAAAAGTACCTTTTGGCTTCTAGTACTACTATTATAAGCTAATCCCAAAACTTAGTGTGATATTATAGTTCAAAACTTACTAACGAGCAATCCGTTCACACCTCAAACAAGAAGTAGGATTTTAGGGTTGGTAATTATAAACGAACTAGTATCTTGCGAGAAAGAAGGGTACGACCGTACCCTAATATTGTGTTGGCAGGGTTTCTAGCAGAGAAAAGAATGGAAACTTGGCCATGGTGCAACATTACTAATAGCTTCATTCCATTCACGGTAAGACAAACCGATAAGGTTGATATTCTAAGATGAAACACGAAGACTTGTATATATGTGTGTGTATATATACTACCAAACGGACTGATTAATAAAAATAATAGATCATTTAATAGTGACAATGCATGCCTAAGATTAGAAGAAGTAATGTTTACCTTAATTTCCAGAGTCTTAGGGTTTTGAGCATAATTTGAGCTGAAATAAGCATCTGGACATCTTTCTATAACATTATTTTCCCTACAAAAAGGCAACCAAATTCTAGAAAATTCAGCAGCCTCCATGAAAGCAAACAGTGTAAGCTCTGATCCTCCATCATCCGACACATAAACCGACAGCTTTTCTGTCGGAAAATCATAAGCCATAACTGATAAAGCTGTGTTAACAACGTTAATAGGTGGCTCTTTATATGGATCTGCAGTGCATATAAATATATCCATGGCCGGGAAATCTTTCCGGTCCAAGAATTTTTCGAGATTTTCCGGGTATTCTTGTCGAGACACGGGATTCATGTGATATGACTGGGTTGTAGACCACATGTAAGCTAGGATAATATCAGAAACAAAAATAGTGAAGGATATGCAGAAAGCTTTGAAGTTGGTGGATTGGAGGAGTGTGAGTGCATGGTGGTAGAATAAGGCCAAAATAACAGCGGTGTAAGCCACCGCGAATACACGGTTGAGGAGCCTGCGGCGCAGCCGTCTGAGGGAGTGTAGACGGAGGTTGGCGGTGGCAAAAGACATTTCTTGGCTACCTCACTGGCTAGAAGTTAGTTATCTTTATAGGCCTCTCAAACACCCTCAATAGAACCATCACTTCTAGAAAATTTAAAAAATTATTGATATGAATTTTGTTATTAATTTATTTACGAAATTGTACACGTAGTAGATTTTAATACAATTGCAGCATAATTGGGTAGAATCGTGCTATTGGGCCCGGCTCAGTGACCGGGCCCAAAAATAGGGGCCGAGGTGGTGCCCTCGCATTGGAGGGGGAGCTTACCGAAGTCAGCCCCCCCTCCAATTACAGGCGGCGCCCTGTTTTTTGTCCAGGTCATTGAGTCGGGACAAATGGCTTTAGCCATTTGGGTAAGCTTATGTATAAAATATTATTGTTCATCTTATTTCGACAGCAACATCATACTCGTGCCTTGCAGTCAAAAAATTATAAACTAATGCATGCATCTTCTTAATTTTACTGCAATTTTAATATGAAAATCGTTTACACGTTATGTTTTAAATGGAAGAATAATTTTGACATGGTTAGAAAGAGTGAAAATAGAATTTAAAAGAATAAAAATGGTTCAACCAACTTAAATTATTGGAGTCAATTTTGACACCTTGACACAAATAATTCCTATAATTTTTGTCTCTTTCTCGACAGAGAACTGAACATGAGTTGCCTTACATTTTCTTTTGTATTAATAAATATTTAAGACAGCAAGTGAAGACCAATTATTTCGAGACATGTAAACATTTATTGTCTTTTCAAGACAAATTATTATACGTTATTTCGTCGCGGTGCATGTCTAGGGATAATCCCAAATCGTATAAATACAAGAATATTAACCATCGTATAGTATAAAGATTTATGAAACTCCTTTTAATAAGATTGACATTTTAAGATGAAATTCAAACTTTTATATATTGGTTAATTAATTAATATCTTATATACGTTTAATTTATAACTTAAAGCATGTTTTGAAAGTGTGTGTAAACGGTTTAAATTATAAATAAATAGAAAATTGGCTCTGGAGAAGTGGATAGCACTTATAGATTCATCGAAATGAGTGGATAAAAACTATTGAAGTATTTATTAACATGAACCAAATATTGGCTTATAAGTTAATTAATAACTCACATGAATCTTTAATATTATCTCTTAGACAAAAGTGAATATTGGATCAAATTTGACCGTGAAACTGTCTGTAGCTAAAATCATCACCCCTTTTGTTTCCCATTATTTGAACACAAAAATTAATTTTTTGATCCTTTTTTTCCAACACATGGGTTCAACGGTGAGATGATGCAGTCAAAAGTTGTGGCTGCTGCTACATGTAACGGTTGAAATTTTCATTAAAATGAGATTAAAAAAATTGGTCCCAAACGGGGGTTATATTGTATATTGCACTTAAAATACTATTATTTTAGACAGGAATAATATTCTCCAGACCAAAACGGCAAGTTGGATGTGTCTTCTGAAAATGGTAGGACATATATGATATGGGAGTGATCAATACTGTACGATTGCGATATCCCACCAATGAAATATGGGCATCAAGTGGTGGTGTTAATTTATGATTCGTGTGGTCCTACGTTAGTACCTTTTGTCGTTGCCTTGGTTGCTTGCTAATTTCGATAGTATCAACTTGTTAGGGTTTTGACTCGAACTTACATTTCTGTCAAGTGTATGTGTGGCCATATTTGAATGGCTATTTACCATAAATATTTGAATTGTCACTTTATTAGAAAAAATGTAAAAATGCAGTGACTTAATTCGAGGTGACAGTAGATAATTTGATGAAAAAGTTGACAGTATTTATAATAGCCCAACGATGAGATTTTATATGACATTATGTCAAAAATTATTTCGAAACATCTCAACGTGATTCTAAATATTTTGGAGCTATCCATGACATGTTTGTATTAGGTCAAAACATATTTGATGTCTTCCAAATGTTTTATTAAATAATTGCTCAAGTCTCTTAAAATACACTATGTTCTAATTTTATTTTATTTTTTAATTTAATCCAAGTTGAGAAACAAAATTTAGCTTTATAATATTGGACAAGCAAGGATCACTTAACAATTTTGTTAGAAAACCACAACGAAAGGTGGAAGGCTAATTCATTATTGGAATGATATGTTCTTTAATAGCTTTTGCTTAATTGTGATTAGAGATGCTAATGAGTCAAGACGAATTGGCTCGATTAGCCGATCCCGGGATTGGCTCAATTCATTTTGGGACGAGTTGAGCACGATCCGACTTGGTTGTAAATATTCAAGCTCAACTTGCCTATTATTGGGACGAGCCGAGCCATCCATTAAGAAAGTCAAGAAAAAAGATAAAAAAATAAATTGAAAATTGAATTGATGGTAGCTAGGTTAGTAGGTGTTTGCAAAGGCTCCCAAAGCAACTAGTCGACTTCAAGCTAGCTCGCATGACACACAAGCCAACTTGGTTCATGTGAGTTGTATGGAATTTTTTGGGCTCGATTTGCGCCTGCATTCCCTTACAAGACGAGTCAAGATGCACACGGGCACGAGCTGCTCGAGCCCATTGCCATCTCTAATTATGATATATCAATTAATTTGTGTAAGGTCAATATGTCGAATTTGATACGACAAATACTTCGAAATCCACCCCACAACACAAAAATTGCAATGTAAGGTAAAAAGGGAACATATTAAAGAGCTAGATGACATCACAATGGGTATGTAACACAAAACCCAAATATCAGTGAATTAATACTATGCAATAGTGAAAAAAACACGAAATTGTAGCGCGCCATGAGCGAAAATTGATCTTGCAGCAAGGTAACACTTTTAAATTGAGCCAAAAATAAAATAAAAAGCCAGAAATTTTCAATATCAGATACAAACATATATTTACAACTATAGGAGAGACAACTTCTCATTCATATCACTAAAATCACCCCTACTCTACACAGATTCCGATTCTACTCAAATCATAAAATACATTTAAGTCTTGCTAAGTCGGATCAAACGTGGTAATGATATGGAAATATTTAACATATTCTTCATAATATTGATATATTTTTCAGATTATCTTAGATTATTTCCCTATCTTTAACAGAAAGATTCACACAATTGAGCCGGCAATACTAAAGCATCCTCGATGACAACACCACAAGACGATCCAACAAATCGAGAAACTTTCTAAAAGAAGGACTAACCAATTTCCAAATTTAAGGTAGCCTGCATCAATTTTGGTCACACCATAAAAGAAGTTTGCTTCTACTTTGCATTTTCTTCACGTCTTGACAAGAACAAATGAAAATCCACCGAGCCATGTTACAGAATTCCCTACAAGAAAATAGCATTATATCAAATATGTAGGATTTAGTTATTTTGTTTTTCTAAAAACTGTTCGGTGGTATCTAATCCTCCTTAGTAATTAGTAAGCATGCATGAGGTTCCTCAGCAAGTCCAGTTTGAATAGCATGATTTTGATATCGTTGAAATAGAGAGTATACTTACAGCCATGGATCATCTCCCATGAGCATCACATCACCTTCGTCATCCCTAAAAAAAATTTCCCATTTTTTTTGGGGCCACAGCTCTCCCTTGATTCCAAACATCTCTTCCAGTTCACTTATAAGTTCGCCATACCCCTTCAATGCAGTCAAGTCCACCTCAAAACGTAATTTGACCCCTTGCATATGAACCTTCTCAAAGGAATACGATACCAAAAGCATAAACTATGAATCAAGTACTTTTCAAGGCAATTAGTGCCGAATCACTAAGACATTATAGTTAATAAAGTGAGTTAGAGCAAGTTTGGCACTAAAACATTTACCAACAAGTAAATAAGTAAAATTTTTAAGTAAACAGTCCTTTTTTGGTCAATGTTAGAAATAAGCAAGTTACTTATTTAGATGGTAAGTGAAGAACTACTTTCAAAATAAGTAAGAAAAACTGAACTTATCCAATCATGTTTGGAGATAAAAGTTTACATAAAAGTAACTTTTTACTTCTTTTAAGCATAGCCATACATGCTCATCAATCTTCTGATCAACTCATACCTTGGTGCAACTTCTGGAGGCATGATTTTCTCTTCTTTGAACATCTTTTGTTAGAACTAGCAACCGGTCTTGCTTTGACTCTTTGGAATCCTTTGAAAGACAAGATTTCTGGTCTGAATCACCTGAAGACAGTTTACTTGATATGTATCCATCGCAAGCATCACTTGGTATATTGACTGGTTTTATCATAAAATTCTCATCAAGGACACCTATCGAAGGACAGATCAAATCAACCCCAAACAATCGGCATGTTGCAACATTATGTGATTCCCTCCTGTCATTCAGGTAAGGCACGGGACTGTTACTTTGTTTTCCTGACTGTGTAGCTAAGTTGGAAAAAACCAACCAAGCTGAGGCACTTTTATTTTTTTCTGTTTCTTCAGCAAACACATTTACAGAAGTGTTTACATTAGGATTGCCGCATTTTTTACGTACACTCCTCTGTTCTTCAAGGGCAAGATTTGCTTCATGTGAATCATGGGATGGATTCCAGACAGCTGCTGCTGTCGAGGTCAGAGTTTCTACACATAGTACAATAATAAATAAACTAGATCACAATGTAGACAAACATACAAGGAAAGGGTTAAAAAGAGTTCAAGGGCATGTTAGGTGGACATGACAAGACAGTACCACAGATAGGCAAGATTTAAAGCTTCTTTTTCTTCTTTCATACTATCCAGTGCAGTACAATTTTCCTTGCCATTCAAGTGATAAAAGGCTAATCTAACCTGGAACTGAGATTTCCACATGTGATCGAAACCTTTTATGCCTTGTTGCCACCGATTGAACGAGGCTCGTAGGCAGCGATACAACAAATGGTTCTATCTCCCATGGAGAAACCCTTTCAGGTCTTCGAATGGATGCAGGTTCATCCCATTGAACCTTAGGATATGAGAAAAGCCGAGTTAAATTTCAGTGTTTCATAATATAAATTGGAAGTGAAAAGATCAGCAAAACAAAACTAACCTTCAATGATCGCCATATAGAACCATCCCAATGAGGAGAGAAATCTTCAACACCAATGATTGTTCCTGAAAACCTGAGTCCCATAGGAGGAAGAAGGGATAAAATTTAGAAATTCAAACTACACAGTTCATAATCAGCTTTTGTGTATGTTTAACAACCTTCTCTCAGGAGAATCCTCCCCCTCAAATCGCATCTTGAATCTCGAGCCAACTTCAAGACCATGATTTACGGCGTCTAGATACTTGTTCTGGCCTATGATGAATTGACTTGTTCTAAGAAGTTTTTCCACGGAAGACGTATATAAGAACATGAATGTCCAAATAAGTCTTCTTATACAGAAGTATTATGGTAAAAAGGGTACGCGTATAAGACCTTGGCTTGTAATAAACAATAAACATGGTATTGGTAGAAACGGCATGAGATGCAGTTGCAAGAACTCCTAGGTGCATGCTCTGACTTGAAATCACTGACGATGGCATGGAGCCCCGATAATGAGTATGACGTCTAACCCCAACACGCAATTCTCCGTTCTCTCCCCTAGAGTCAAAGTTTACAAGGTAAAAAATTGAAAAGGGAAAAAATGATTTTTTTTTTCAAAAACATTAGTGGTCATAACATATCCCAAAAGAATATCCTCAAGAAACAAATACCTCAGAAATACAAAAGAATCCCCGGCAATTAATCTCTTAGAAGTAACAAATGTACTCCATCCTGTTGTCAGCAAATGCCTTCGGGGTTGGCCTGTTCAATATTTGTCAGTTCTATATGGATTTCAAGCCAAAGGCACGTTAAGAGTGTGGAAATAAAATATTACCTCTAAATATATGCTTAAAGTGCCATTCAATCCCATTCAGATCCTTGGCAACCAATTCTTGGGTTGGTGTCTGCTGGCTCATATCCTGATCAAAGATCAATTTTATTCCAAATAAATGGCAAATCATTTCATATGTAAAATAGAACTAATGATGAGCAGGAAGGCACGTAGATTGATGGAAAACAAGAAGTGGCCCAGAAAGAGAAAACAAGGAATTATTACCAAGGGAGGAAGGCATTCGTTTGCATGTTTACGAAGAACAGAAAATCCACCATGGGTGCTCGTATCAGAGGCTGTCAAAACCTTGCAGAATGAGTGAACTGTAGGCCTAGGAGGCTCAGGATCAAGACGTCTTGGCTCTATTTGCTACAATTAGTATTATTTAATAACAAAACTTTAATCTAAAATGGATCCCAAAAAAAAAGAAAAGTCAAGAGCAAGCAAAAGTAGTAATTTAATCAAATAGAAAGAAGGAAGACTAAAATACTTACATCTGCTTCTGGCATCAAAGTAATTTGTGCATAGACTTCATCAGTGTCTTTTTCAGCCTACAGAGCAGCATAACTTGTAAAAGACAGAAGTTTCTCTAACTTAATTCACTATTGAACAATTTTTTGTTGCTAATTTAGGAAATATCAACGATAGATATGCTTCTCTTGGAGAATAATGATCCAAGCAAGGATGGTTTAACAGTTAGCTCTAAGAAACAAAGATAAAAGCTATAGTCCTCCCCAAATTCCTAGCTCCTTATCACAGTAATGTTATGATTTAATCCTAATCTCAATTACAAGAACAATAATAAGAAAAAATATACATATAAAAAATCCACATAGAGATTCATCGATAGAACTACACTCACAGACTAAATTAAAGAAGATGGGTACTAATGATCTCGAGCCCCTCTTATCCTAAAAAACTGGTCTCGCTCTAAAATATTTTATATGGTAGGAACTTTAGGGTAACCTGTTTGGTAGAAATTAAAATTCAGATTTTAGTCTAGTCAATGTCAACAATTAATTTAAATACGACCACAACATTTCATTGAATTTTATCAAAATCTATTAAAAACTGATTTTAATCCGCACCAAACAGGGGTATAGTATGATCCACGCAGTTTAACAAGCAAAAGAAAACGCATTTCGCAAAAGCAAAATAAAACGATGAAAAAGGTAAAAAAATAAAAAAGACTATACCAGTAGCTGAATGTCATAAACACTACAAAGGATCTTCGAGGGCAGACTAAACGTTGTTATCCTCTGATTCAGTTCCTCATTTGTTGATGCCTCCAACTAACCAAAACCAAAAAAGAAGAAGAAATTACAAAACAAATCCGACAAAAAAAAAAAAAGAAGCTAATTTCAAGCTTAAATTTGCAAACAAAGATCTGAACTTCAGGCAACCACAATAAATTTTCAATACAAAAGAAAATTACTTGTTCCACGTGCCCTTGTGGAAAATAGTAAACTCTCTCGTTAATTCTTGGAACATCCACCAATGGACCAGCACAAGCCTTCCATAACTCTGTATACATAACATCCTCTCCACCACAACCTGAACATTCAAAGGAAAATCTTAGGAAAAATGAAATTATTTCCCAAACAAAGATAAATAAAGCGACATGTCTTTTAGATTTCACCTTCTGCTGATAAACCCATTTGCTGCGGCTGTGGAAATGACCTTCTATTTGCCATTGCTAAATCAACCTTTGTTTCTTTTAGATGAAAATTTAACCTTTAAACGAACAATGAAACTGAAATCCCAGTATGATGTAACTAAATTTACTTTCTTACACACTTAAAAAGCCCAATGTACGTACACTTTCTCTGTCTACGGAACACAAAAAAATCAGTGTGAGAAGTGAGGAAATGGCACTGCTAAATCCGACTTCACCAAGAATTAGCTTAATATAAGCCTTAATTTAGTGCTCTCTTTCTTTTTCCCTCTATTTTGTATGCATTGCTTTTACAGCACGTGGTTGGGTTGTTTCCGCTGTATCTGCAGAATGTGTGCGTGTTAGTAGATAAGCAGCCTAAGCCCTGTCCCACATTCCTTTAAATTTCATTTTCAATTGAGTATTTTTCAATAAAATAATATTTTTCATCAAATTAATAATTTTTCCTGCATAATATCAATCAAACACAACATAAACCAAGGTTATTGATAAGCTACTTTTGAATATGTTTAAACTATTTATTTAAAATTGTTTTACAGTAAGTTTGTTCAAGATGACTTTGAGAAAACTAAACAAAAATTATCTTAAATTCATAGACATTGTTAAAAAATCAATGTCTTGTTTAGTCAACTAGTGTTAAGGGATAGAATTTCACACCAAATAAAGATGTAAACATAAATCAATTTATAAAGGATTAGATTACTCATCTTAATAAGGTTGACCTTTTAAGATGAAACATCAATTCTTAACATGGTATTATAACTCATTAAACTCTAACGAGCAATTTGATCCGATTAAAATTTCAAAAGTAAGCACACAGATTTCAAGATTGATCTGCTCAAACGAGACACCATTTTGTGGGGACATATTAAAGGATAGAATCTCATATCGAATAAATATGTAAACATAAACCAACTTATAAAGTATTGGGTTACTCTCCTTAATAAGGTTGACATTTTAAGATGAAATTCCAACGTTTAATAACTTGGACCCTAGCAACATTGAGTTCATGTTCAACAATCATTATTTGGAAAAAATAAATTTTTGAATAATGATTTTTAGGAAAATATATGGTTAAAAAGTAGGAAAAAACTTTAAATTTACGTTCAAAATATTTTATTACGTAAATGATTAAAAATAAATATATAAAAGAAAATTGAATAATAATAATTGTCAAACAAGAGCCAACTGTAACTCAATCCACAAAATGAGAGAGAAAAAGGAGTTTGACACAAAAGATACCCCTAAAGTTGGTAACGCTGTTAGCCCGTTTGACAACCATTAAAATAATAAAATAAAATAAAAATTCAAACTAATTTCTAACTACATTTTTCACAATAAAATATTTTACACGTAAATTTAAAATTTCTTTAACTATTTAGGTACACGTTCTTCAAAAATTTACAATAAAAAGTTATGCCAACAAAGTTGAAGATCGATAATTATATCATTGAGAGAACTAGACGAACTAACAATTAAAAAGTCACTTTTAGGCAAGAAAAACATCGTGCAAAATTAAATCCTTTGTCTGTATTAAACGACTTTATTACTATTTAAATCTTTCGATAAAACTAAATATATTTATTTATATTTCGAGTCTTCATTTATAAATTGCATTTATTTTTCTGAACAAAATTCTGTCATGTACAATTTTCACAAACACAATGGTGATCTCATATTTTTTTATTTTTCTAGGCCCACAAGAATCATCTCACTTAAAGAATTACTTGACAATCATTATTTTGAAACTCTTTCTTATACATACTCATTTTCAATCACATTCACACAATAAAATATTCTGCACGTAAATTTAAAATTTTTCTCTAGTTTTTAATCACACGTTCTCCTAAAAATTACTATTCAAACCATTGTTATTTCCAAATAAAAAGGACGGCTGCATCATTGATGGCCCCCACCTGCTCTGTCCTACCCTGGATCTTGGTGAAGGGGGTAAATCGCAGATTATGCCTCCAATGGTATAGGGTGGAAGGCTGTTTGTATACTTACACTTATTCAATGGCCAAATCCATATTTCAGGATTCGAACCCTTGACGCGGTAGCCTTAAGTAAAGTTGAAATTTTTTCACCTTCCCCTTTTATCACTTGGAAATGTGCCCTGAGGGCTTTTTTTTCCAAATAATAGTTGTCAAACATATGCTAAGTTTTCAAATGAGTTACAAATTTAGCCCATGTTTGACAACCATTAATATGAGTTTTTTTAAGAAGATGAGTTTAGAATAGTGATTTCTTGGAGGATGCGTGGCTAAAAAATAGAAATTGTTTTTGAATTTACGTGTAAAATATTTTATTGTAAAAATGTGCAGTTGAAAATGAGTTTGAGAAAAAAAAGGTTTTATTTTAATGGTTATCGAACATGGTTCATGAACTTTTAGAATTTATCTTCAAGAGGTAAGGTCCCATTCAACCCCAAAAATCTCTCTTTAATAAGAATTATATATTTATTATAACAAACTCAGAGATGTTCTATTCTAAAAATTAACCTCTTAATCTTGTTATTAAAGTCGTAAATTATATGTTAGAGCAATTTTGCCCTTCTACAAAGAGACAAGTCATATGTATATAGGTTATGTGTACATTAGTGTCCTCTACATAATTAGGGAAAAAAACTAGATTTACTTTGTAATCTTGTTTAATATTGCGTACTAAATACCTTTTGATTAATTACTTAATTTTAAGCATTAAAATGTTCACGAAAGACGAAATAATTTCATTCTGAATAACTATACTTTATTTTAGTGTCAATCATGTAACTGTACTTTGCATTTATTTAATTAGGTAACTATAATTTGATATGATTTCAATCAGGTAATTATACTTTTATTTGATTTCAATTGAATATCTATACTTTAACTTAATTTCAATTAAGATAATATTTCTTCAATTTCATTGATAAGAATCAATGATGTGACAATCATAAATGATGGTCATCACTCATAATCATTAGTTGTTGACGTGAAATATATACAACTTCAATGAAAAATGACCATCAATTCATCGATTTTTGTCAAGTTAAAGATGAAATTGGACATATTTCAAAAACTTTTATCACAATCTACTAAAAATTTAATTTTAATCTCCTCCAAACACCCTCTAAATAAAATTGAAATATAATCACTCGATAAATTACATGCGTCATCTAATGACTATCGATTTATCAATTTTCATCAATACAGGAGACAGAATTGGACGGAGTAACTCCATAGAAATCAAATTAAAGTATAATTATTCAGTTGAACAATATTGAAGTACGATTACTTGATTGGCACGGAATTTACCATATTAAAGATAAAAAAAATTCACAAGTTAGTAACAAAGAAATTATTAGTGGCCCCAACCTATGAAATATAACAATTTGGTAATCAATCTTTCATTAGAGTTGCACAATCCATAATAGATACTCTCCAAATTATCATTAAATCGTCATTTGATCATAGAATATCTAATTTGTAAAGTTAGATTTTACATCATAACTTTCATCAGTACCCACGGATTTTTAATGGGGCATATTCTATTACGATTACGAGACACCCTAGTCTCTGTTTGACAATCATTATTTAAAATTTTTTTTTTACATACTTGTTCTCAATTACAGATTCACTTAATAAAATATTCTACACGTAAAGTTAAATTTTTTTCTACTTTTAACTCTACATATATAATATATTAAATATCATATCAAGTAAGAATCATTTTTTGGACGATTTTAACCATACTACAAATAATACCTTACTTTTTCATTTTTTAATATGTAATAAATACTAAAAAATTATTGTCATGTATGAATTTCATATTATTAATTCACAATTAATTGACATTCACATTAATCTAGACTAAATAAATCTTGATTGATGAATCTTCATCTACACGAATTTAGAGTTATTATAAATGAATTTAATTCTATTCATGTATCTAAAAATTTTAATGGGTGTTTAATTTCATGTATTAGCAATTAATACTTATTTATCAAATGTAATATAAAAAAGTTGCTCATTTATAGTATTTCATCATCACAAAAAATATGAATAATAGAAGTTGAATTTTGAGATCACAATTTTATTATCTTAAATTTTTATCCTAAATTTTATTTCCTTTAGTTCGTTTGAGATTTATCATATCCTCCTAACAAAATGATATCAAATATTATCTTTACGGCACTTATAAAAAGTTTTTTAAAATAACGTGCAATGCATGTTCAACTCTGACTAGTTTTCTTAAATATCACTATTCAAAACTCTATTTTTCACAAATAATAATTGTCAAACAGTGAATTAACCAAGAGTTACAAAGTTTTGGTTATTGAGGAATGATTATACAGTCATAACAAGTCCAGATTCAACTTGATTATTTTAAATATTAAAAATCAATTTACTACTGAAATAATAAGTTTGAGAACCAGCGCCACGATATTTCACGTGGGTTGACCCAATATTTTAGCATTGTTTGATAATTATTACTTCAAAACTCTTTAATTCTCATACATATTTACAAAATAAAATATTTTAAACATAAATTCAAAATTTTTTCCTATTTTTTATCAACATATTCTCTCAAAAAATCACTATTTAAAATTTCATTTTCTCGAACTAATGAACATAAAAAGGGCTAATGTCCCACCTAGGATTTTAGGAGTCTGAAGTGGGATGTCCCCACTAAGAAAAACATATGATTTCTAATTAAAATTAATTAATTTGAGATCAGTACTATTATTCCATTAGTATAGTATTTTTAATTTCATCGTGCCCATAAATAAAAGCATTTTGGGTTGTTTCCATGTGATGACAATTATGGGGCTAAAAGAAATTATTAAATGGTAATTGGAATCTATTCATTATGTTAATAATTTGCTTATAATTAATTAATATCTTATAAATTAAGCATATGGCATTCTATTGGAACAACAAAAAGGGAATGGAAGTGGAAATTTGGTCCTGCTCCTTTGCAATTCGACAGGCCGCCATAGCCACATACACGGTTGCAACAAATAAAATATGATTAACTACATCCCCCACTAAAGCAATATTCGGAATTATTGTGAATACAAATTCACCTTATGAAGGCTCGACTCAACCCAATAGACAGTCGAGAGAGCAAAGTCCGTACCTCATAGGATCGAAGGTGATCTGCCACAGCTAGAGGTGGCAATCGAGTCGAGCGACTTGCCTGCTCGACCGCTCGGCTCGCCAAAAACGAGCCCGAGCAAGCTCGGCTCGTCATTTAGACGAGCTCGCCGAGCGGGGCTTTTCATAGATTTTAAGATGACCCTAATTTTAGTTCAGTTATATTTTTCATGGAATTAAAATTTAGTAAATATTGAGAAGACTCACCCATGTTATTTCTGTTAGCATGCGTCATAGATCCCCGATATAATTTATCGGGTACTAGATTTTTTATTGATCAAATTTCAAATATTTTAACTTTTAACGTACATATTATTTATAGGAATTTGAAACAAACTTTATGTGAAATATATGAAATATATGCTTCACGAATGGGTACACATATTACTCATGTACCCTCCGGCTCTACAAACACTCATCCAACTAATATAGGAGATGACGAAGCTAAAATTTGAAATTTATTTCAACGCATGAACTCATATAGATATGATTCAACTGCATATGCATGTGGTTTCTCTAGTTGTAGTGGTAGTAGTAATAGTTTGTCTTCTACTCATGTACTCAAGCATCGAGTAATAGTCCAAATGCGTTGTCTGCTGAATTAATTGATTATTTTAATTATAATATCTTAGTAACAATGCAATTAGGAAAAATTCAAAAAAAGTAATCGATTTCTAGTGAAGGTATGAATGCCGATGGCCAATAATTTCTGCAATGGCAAAAGATCTACTAACATATCTAGTTAACACTGTAGTTTCAGAATCTGTTTTTAGTGCAGGAAAAGGTTCTCTCCGAGGTCAGGAATCGACTAAAAGAAGATATTTTTTATTAACACCTCCGGTTAGCAGTGTAGCTTTGGAGTCTGCTTTTAGTGCAGGGAAGAGGGTTCTCTCCGAGGTCAGGAATCGACTAAAAGAAGATATTTTGGAAGCATTAATGGGCGTAAAAGATTGGGAAGACGCTTATTATCGATTACAAGATAAATATGCCGAAATTGCATGTAATCAAGTAAGTGATATTTAATTTAATCATATTAATCACAAAATTTTATTTTAGTATCTTTATTATAATTTTTTTTTTAAAAATTGAACACGTAAAAAGTTGTTCGTGTATAATTTTTAACTCCGTCTACTCTAAATTGAAGTAGCCGATTCCAAACTCGAATAAAAGATGAGGGTTTATTTATCTTTCTTTTTTTTAATTTTAAAAAAGAAAAATGTTTTAGAAAATGTATATTTCAAAAATGTTTAGAAAGTATGTGTGTGTGTACATTTTAGGTTTAGTATAATGTTTTTAAAAAATCGAGCTGAACTTTAGCCGAGCGCCCCACGAGCGGCAAGCTCGGACACGAGCCAAGCTCGCCCGTGGGGGAAAGGTCTCGCCCGCTCGGCTCATTGCCACCCCTATGCCACACTATTCACCATGTTTGTAGTTATCGTCGAAAAATCTCATCCAATCTAATAAGAAAATAAACTCTATTAACATATATCTCGTATGTATTTAACAAGGAATTTTATTAATTCCCGAAGCATATTCCAATGTTAAATTGTAAGATGGAATTTTTGCTGCAAATACCTTAAAATATTTGGAATCAAGACATAAGCTTTAGAAATTTGCAATGATTTTGCCTAACAACATTATCTAATTTTTTATATTTCAATTGGATCTAAATTATGATTCAACTGCATATGCATGTGATTTTTTTTTTTTTTTAAAGAAGAAAAATGTTTTAGAAAATGTATATTTCAAAAATGTTTAGAAAATGGGTGTGTGTGTGTGTGTGTACGTACATTTTAGGTTTAGTATAGTGTTTAAAAAAAAAATCGAGCCGAACTTTAGCCGAGCGCCCCATGAGCGGCGAGCTCGGACACGAGCCAAGCTCGCCCGTGGGGGAAAGGTCTCGCCCTCTCAGCCCATTGCCACCCCTATGCCACACTATTCACCAAGTTCGTAGTTATCGTCGAAAAATCTCATCCAATCTAATAAGAAAATAAAGTCTATCAACATATATCTCGTATGTATTTAACAAGGAATTTTATTAATTCCCGAAGCATATTCCAATGTTAAATTGTAAGATGGAATTTTTGCTCCGAAGACCTTAAAATATTTCGAATCAAGACATAAGCTTTAGAAATTTGCAATGATTTTGCCTAACAACATTATCTAAATTTTTATATTTCAATTGGATCTAAACTTCGACTCGACTTGATACAACCGGGGCATGAGAGGACTAGCGAATGACAAGTGAAAGGAGACCCACCAGACTTATTTCTATTTACTTCAGACATTTGACAAGTATCAGTTTAGACATTAAGCATATTCCAATGTTAAAGATATGATTTTAAGGGCACTCGAATCACAAGAATTTGATCGTCACACATTCATAAAAAGGGGTTACACACATGCTACCTTGACTTGTTGGGATCTGACCCTACAATGCTTCAAATCTAGTAGGTTTCAATTACTACATCTACTCCACTAACCAATTCTGCATAGGCAAAAAAGGAACAAAAGTCACATGTTGAGTGTAACTAATCTCAAATGATTAGTGTGGACTTAGCCATGTGATTTTACTGTTAAATTTAAGTAATTTATAGCTATTGCAATATGCAGGACAGCTTTAATGGTTCACAAAGTATGTTATCAGCTCCAAACAAACCTATAATGCAATATACCATTAACTCATTTTTTTTAATCTTTAATACTATTCAATGATTTAAACATTCTCTTTGTCAGACAAGCAGTATTAGACTTGATTGAATAGTGTAATGTATAAGATTTTACTTCTTTCTCGAGCATCAATTGCCACATAGTTGAGCTTCCTCGTATAATGTGATCTCACTTGTGGAGAAGGTGTGGAGTGATGACTTCGTAGTCACTCAGATGATTCAGCAAGCAAAATGACATAAAACAATTGAGTAAAAGGCATTATTTCATACGAAGAGACAAGTGTCATATCTATGGATAAAGAGCCATCATATAATTAAAATAGATCCAAGTTTGCTTAGAATTGGATCAAATTTAGAAAAAGTTGTTTACATACAATGTAGTTTGATTATGACTGACTAAATAATTGGGAATAGAACTCGAGATTAGTGGTGGCATCATATTTTTTCTTTTGTATTGTAACTTTATCGAAAAAAAGAATACTGAAATATTATAAAAACTACTATAAGTCGAGTAGTATCAAAAGTTAGCGAAAACCCCAAATTAAACTAGTTCGTGGACTAACTTTGACAAGCCAAACCAATGTTAATTTATGGCTTTAGCAAGTTGCACAATATTTTAATAAATCCATGATAATTGCACCTACCTATCTATGGAAAATCTATATATATAAGACCAAGCATCTTGTCACTATGCATAAATTGATGATGATGAATGACATGACGTATGAAACCATGGAATTTTAATATTCATGCTTTAATAACTTTTCTTCAATAAAGTATGTGACAAATACCTATCCTTTATTCAAAGGAATGTTTTGCTTTTGTTTGAAAATCGTGGATTCTGAGCATGTTTGGTTAAGGTTTCAGACGGTAAAGAGCTTTAAAGTAACTAAGGAAACAAATTTCTAAGCTTAAAAGTAGCTTTTAAGTAAATTTTTCATACTATGCATTCATAAAAGGGGGAAGGCCAGATTCAGACAAGAAAACACCAATGTTTAACAATCTTATTCAGTGATAGAGAATGAATGTACTCCCATCAGCCCTTGATAAATTGGAAAGAAATAGTGAAAAAGGCAACAATTTTTTTTTTTTTTTCGAAAATTGATTCCAGCATTAAAGATTTCGACACTCAAACTTCTCTGACTCTAAATTACACTTCCAAATAAAATGAGGCATAAATCAGTCCCTCTGATGAGAGAAAAGCTGAGTGGAGTACTTCTATCAGCTTCTTAAGGCTTAAAGGGTGCAAAGGCAACGACCGAATTATGCCCACCAAAGCCAAATGAGTTAGAGATACCTGCAGATGAACGAGAATAATAAGATTTCTCTTAAGTTCAAGAAAGTGCACGCCTCAATAAATAACACTTTCTTGATTTTTCAGCTTGCTGCACATCCCATAATGATCATTCAAACCTAGATTTTTGAATTTTACATATGAATGATCAACCACATAAGGATAAGATCACGTACCAACATTTACTTCATGCTGTTTCTTTACATTCGGGACTGTGTCAATGGTAACCTCAGGCTCCAAGTTCTACGAACAGGACGAATAATTAGGACAAGTAATATTTAGTACAATGTCACATTATAATTGTGAATATTGTAATACGAAGAAAAAAAAAGTAGAAGTACAGGAGTTTTTGTAACGTACTTGTTGGTTGATTGTTGGATGTAACCAGCCAGTGCTGATTGCTTTAATAGTAGCTATAGCCTCAAGTCCTCCAGCAGCTCCAAGGCCATGCCCGGTCATCGACTGAATCATAGTTGTCGAAAAAGTTTCAAGAATTCATCTAAGACGTGAAACTAATGCAATAGCATCAATATTGTGCATCTTAAGAAATAAATAACTACTCGGTTAAACTGTGAGTCAATTGACCTTGATGATAATAATAAATTTGGCTTAAAACAAAACTCAATGAGTATGTAGTTTAATGAAAGTTGTAATTTTTTTTTCTAGAATTGCAGCTTATCAGAAATATATCACTAATAGAAAAAAAGTTACTAGACCTGTTATGTTTTATGGTTCTGAGTGTTGGGCCATTAAAACAACAAAATGTCTATAAGATGAATGCAACAAAAATGAAAATGCTAAAATGGATGTATTGTCATACTGAGATGAGATGGATATGATAAGAAATGAGAATATACACCAACAAATGGAGGTAGCAATGTCTGAAGATAAATTAAGGAATGATGACTTAGGTAGTTGGAACATGTTTCGAGTAGATTTAAAGATGTTCATATTCATAAAAGTGATGTTAACTTAGTACAATATGTTAGAAGAGGGAGGGTTAGATAAAAACCAACACAGCTTCTTGTGATTTCTAAGAATTTGGTTGCTTTAGGTCATCTAGCAGTAAACTGTACGGGTAGCAAAAAAGAATTTGTCCAGCCGATCCCAAGATTATTTGGAACAAGACTTTATTTTCTTGTTGCGTTAGTATTGTGAAAAGGTTTCTCACCTTGGTACCGTTCATCTTTATCTCTGAGGTGTTCTTGAAGACCTTCTTGATGGCATTGACCTCAGCCAAATCTCCCGCAAGGGTTGATGTTGCATGAGCATTTACGTAGTTCACCTGTTAACGAGAATTTACCAATCAGCATAGGAGAACCAAATTAAGCCCATGTTTGGTTTAGATTAAAAATCAGGTTTTTTAGTAGATTTTCATAGAAGTTTATGGAATGTGTGGTTGAAAATTAATTGTTCATTTTGACATAGATTTTAATTAGAATTTTTAGCTGAACCAAACAAGGGCTAACACAACGTTATGTTCAAATGCACGCATCCCGTAATTACAGGATACAGTATGAACCACTCGTACCTCTTCAGGGGCCACTCCAGCATCTTCCAAACTCTTGATTATGCAAGATGAAACACCTAGCCCATCTGATCGAGGATCAGTCATGTGATGAGCATCACAAGTAACAGCACCTCCCAAGTACTCTGCAATAATATTAGCTCCTCTTTTCATCGCATGCTCCAAGCTTTCCATAATCTATCATTCATAATCTAAGTTGACGTTCATAAAATTAACTTTTTTCTCAAAATAAATGCTTCAATAATCAGTCGGGTGAATCCGAATGAGTTCATATACCAGTACACCAGAGCCTTCGCCAATGACAAAACCATCACGATCTTTGTCCCATGGCCGTGATGCCCTTTCTGGTTCGTCATTTCTTTGAGACAATGCTCGGCATGCTATAAAGCCTCCGACTCCAGTAGGAATTACAGCAGCCTCTGTCCCCCCGGCTACCATGATATCTGCTTCTCCTCTTCTAATGTGATTCGCAGCTGCATAGAAGCAGTAATTGGCAGTAGCACAAGCTGTCGAAATGGAGTAATTAGGCCCCATTAAGCCAGTATCTATAGCAAGTAATGCAGATCCCATGTTAGTGATGGAGTACGGAATGAAAAATGGAGTTATCTTCTTGTATCCCTTTTGAATTAGAGCTTCCACTCCATTGCTGAAAGCTGTTATGCCTCCCATGCCTGATCCGACCAGAACTCCTATTCTTGTGCGGTCCATCTGCAACAATCAAGAGAACATGTTATATGTTTGATTCTCTCAAAGCACCTCGTCTCAAAGCTTAAGTTATTAGAAAGAGGAGACTTTAATTATTTAAATTTAGCCCCCGTTTGGTGCACATTTTTGGAAAAAGAATGCATTTTTACTGTTGATGCGATGGGGAATATGTGGTTGAAAAAGAAGGAAAAGTTATTGATGTGATGAAAAATATTATTTTATTGAAGAATGTGTAGCTGAAAATGAGTAGAAGAATGAGAATGAAAAAAATAATGTGGCTCAAACAAGGTTTTAGTCTTCAAAACACCCCCCTAAATGTTTTCATAAATGGTTGGAAGCGAGACTTAAACCCAGGCCCTTTGCCCGCCAGATACCATGTTGCACCATCTCATTGTAAAGTTAAGGTGTTAGAGAAAAGACACTTTTATTTTTTAAATAGTCTTCAATAGATTCTTTAATCCGAAAAATCATTTTTGAACATGCAAAAGGCTTACAGTTTCAAGAACTTCTTGTCCAAGGCTGGCATTTTCTAAGGCCCTCTTCCCAGCAACCAAACAATATCTCCAGCAGTCGTCTAACCGGCGATCATTCTTCCCATCAATGTAGCCCTTGGAAGAGAAATTTCGAATTTGACCTGCAAACCTAACAGAAAATTCTGAAGCATCAAATCGGTCTATTGGTGAGATTCCACTCACGCCCTCGAGAAGTTTGTTATAAAACGTGTCAATATCACTGCCAAAAACAGAAACAAGGCCCATTCCTGTTATGACAATCCTCTTCTTAGGATCCTTTTCTCGTTTGGGAGCTGAAACTGTGGGAGAAGCCATGGCCTTAATTCTTCCACATTTTGCTGCTAAGAATAAACAATTTATTCAGATAACAACAAATATCAACACAACAGCATAGAGAGATAAATAGAAACTTCAAATCATATGTTAATTTATAGTTCCCGATAAAAATTGGACAGAAATAAAAAGGACTTGGAATTCCTAAAACTGAAAAACCACCACATTAAGACCAATAAGCAGTTTCCCCTGAAAAGAATCACGTTTTGTTATGGATTAAGCCTTAATCCCTACTTCCGGGAGAATTAATAAACAATAAAGAAATCAGAAAAAGGGCAGAGTACAAACCCTCAATGTGAGAGTTACATGTACATGTTGCTGCAGGTTTTAACCATAATTAAGAAGAAGAATATAAGTTTTCCTCACACATCTCTTGCACACGAAAAACAACTCCTTAACATCTTTACAGTACAATAAGGCACCACATAGTCCAACATAGGGGAAAATTTAAAGGCAAAGAATTTCAGGGATTTAGCTAGAGCCCTTGGAAGCATATCCTTGAGAAACAGAACTGCAAGTGCAAACCCTGTAAATATCTGTGAGGTGGATCACTTAAATCCACTTGGCACATGATTATTTGTTTTGAGCACTTTGAAAGGATTGTACTTATTGATGTGCATTACGGTCCATAGATTAATCATAGTACAATATTTGAATTCAAATGGTTCTTCAGCTCTATAGCTCTATAATTGCAAGACTCCTTCACTTGTTTCACTTGGACTTGACATAACAAAAGAGAGAAAGTACAGAGAGTAAACTAGGTGGGAGAAGTTCACATCTCCGGAGAAATTCTTAGTGACTTCTGGCGGATTCATTTCTCGGTATATTCACTGTCATTCCCGTGGACGACGATGCATGATTCGGTGAGGCAAAAATTTGAACTCAACGTCATACGACACTCCATTAGTAGTACTAAAGAAGCTTTGGGTCTATTGGTTCGGTTTTACACTTTGAGAGTTTATGTTTTCGTATTGTAGTTCTAATAATCATTTGTTCAATACATTTTAAACTCTTCAATATCTATTTTACAGTCACGGCTGAATTAATTTGGAAGAGGCAGTATAATAGGAAAACACAATCAGTCAATAACTAGGTGAAAGAACTTCAAAACAATGTTTCCCCTTGTGAGGTAACTGAGGAAGAGATCAATAAAACCATTGCAAAAAAGAAAGAAAGAAAATGTGATAAAAGATTTGGTATCGCAAGATGGAGACTTGGAAGAATTTGAAACCAAAACTTGCCTTACGACTTTGTCATTCTATCAATTTG